TTTTCTGCTGTATACTACTCCATTGTATAAATGTACCACATTTTCCTTATCCATTCTTTGGTTGAGGGGCATTTAGGTTGTTTCCACATACTGGCTATGATAAACAATGCTGCTATGAACATAGTTGAGCATATGTCCTTGTGGCACGATTGAGCATCCTTTGGATATATACCCAAAAGTGGTATTACTGGGTCTTGATGAAGGTAATTTACTAATTTTCTGAGAAATAGCCACACTGACATCCAAAGGGGTTCTACCAGCTTGCATTCCCACCAGCAATGCAGGAGTGTTCCCTTTACCCCACAACCTCTCCAGCATAAGTTGTCATCAGTGTTTTTTATCTTGGCCATTCTTACAGGTGTAAGGTGATGGAATCTCAAAGTTGTTTTGATTTGCATTTCTCTGGTGACTAAGGATGTTGAGCATTTCCTTAAGTGTCTTTCAGTCATTTTAGATTCCTCTGTTGAGAGTTCTCTGATTAGTTCTGTACTCCATTTTGTTCTTTTGATGACCAATTTCCTTGAGTTCTTTGTGTATTTTAGAGATCAGACCTCTGTCTGATGAGGGGTTGATGAAGACCTTTTCCCATTCTGTAGGCTGTCATTTTGTCTTTTTGGCCATGTCCTTTGCTTTACACAAGCTTTTTAGTTTCAGGAGGTTCCATTTATTAATTATTATTTGGTAATATTATTAAATGTTTATTTATAATATTTAATTATTTATTAATAATATTAATTAAATATTAATGGTTATTTAATTATTTGCTGCTAGGGTTATATTTAGGAAGTGGTCTCCTGTGCCAGTGTATTCAAGTGTACTTCCAAATCCCTTAAAGAAAGCGAAGAAGGCCAAGAAGGCCAAGAAAAAAACAATCAAACAGGTGAAAGGAACAGTTCAAGACTTGAAAACTGAAATAGTAGCAGAAAGAAAAATGTAAACTGAGGAATTTCTTGAAATGGAAAACCTGAGTAAATGATCAGGAACTGCTGATGCAAGCATCACCAACAGAATGCAAAAGATAGAAAACAGAATCTCGGGTGTTGAAGATACAACAGAGGAATTAGATTCATCAAAGAAAATGTTAAATCCAACAAACTCTTAACATAAAATATCCAGGAAAACTGGGACACCATGAAAAGATCAAACCTAAGAATAATATGGATAGAAGGGAAAGAACAATAATAGCAACTGATGGCTTCTTCTGCACATTTTCAAACTCTTAAAAACTTCTAAATTATTAATTTTAGTTCCTAATTATTCCTCAAAATACAAACTCCAGAAACATAGGTGTGCAGCTTATCCCTGAACAAGTTATGAATAAGCATCTACCTGTGAATCTTTCTTCTTCTCCTTCTCCCTAAGTATCACATGATCAATAACTAATCAGTCACCACTACAAGCCTCTGAAAGAATTGGTCCTAGAAAGGTACTGAATAATTACTCTAATGAGGTTTTCAGGATCTGGAATCCTCTGGGATACAGAGTCTCTTAAGCCCAGAGGTAACTGGAAGAAGAGATAAGAAAAGGGGTGATACAGATCTAGACATTGTGTAGAGACTATTATTTCCTGTGGACATAGTGAATAAAGAGAAGCATGCTAATTTAACAGAAACTGTGCATCACCCTCAAATATTCTGGATGAGTTGGCAGGTGGGTGAATGGGCTGATGTTTTTCTGTTCTTCCATCACAAGAGTTTCAGTATGCTACAGTGTGTGATGTTCTGTTAGATCTTTAGGAAATAATTTCCTTCTTTGTCTTACTTCATCTTTGGGGACTTTGCCACACCATAGATAAACTTGAATTAATGACTGCCATTTGTAATATGTATTTATCATGTAGTTCATTTTATTAATAGTTGTGTTATTATATTATTTATTAATTATTAATAATTATTCTTCTAAGATCATACCCTACCAACATAATAGCTCTGTGATGATAAAGACATTTTTTAACTTTACTGTGGGGCATTAATAAACCTTAAATTGCTCTCCCATCAAAGATAATTTAAATTTATCTGATGGGACTCACTAATGTGTGTTTTGGGTGATAATGTAAGTGCTGCCTCCTCCAGCACCCAGGTATCATCACCTGTTGTTCTATTTATAACGTAGAATCTGAGCTACAGAATCACAATCCACATTTTCACAGAATTCTAGGTGATTTGTATTTACTGTGAAGCACACTGTCTCCTAGGGGATTTCTATGTGCTGTCCTGATTGAGAATTACCGATTTAATGGCTGAAGAAGATACAAGGCTCTCTGGATCACCAGGGACAGCACCTACAGGTGAGGTCTCTGATCTGTGACCTCCATATATTTTCCTATACTACATGGGACTCCCCTCATTTACAAGGGAAGTAGAATTTTAAGGAACTACTTTTATTTTACCTTGAGTCTGCTGTTTTAAATACTAATGACATTGAAAACCATATTCATGACACCATCAGAATTAGTATTTCACCAAAATCAGTACCAGAGACTAGTCTATCCATATATGTTAATCATGACAGGAAGTCGTATACAGTGAAGCATGATTTTTCTCTCTGTAATGTAACCATGCAATGTTCACACATACACTCAGTGATCTCAGCTTCATTAAATATTGTCTGCAGGGTGAAGACCTCAGAAGTGAGTTCAGTGATAGCACTTAGAAAAAAGCTTCCAGCATTCCATAATGTTCTTTCTCTACTTTGACAACTCCATAACATAGTGGAATTTGTTGGTATTGTCAAGAAGAAAATGTGTGTGTAGTGTGTGTGTGTGTGTGTGTGTGTGTGTGTGTGTGTGTGTGTGTGTGTTGGTCTGGATAAGTTGTTTTAAGTCCACACAATACTAAGAACTGACAAATGTCTGTCCTGAGGCCGGTCAACAGACGAATCCCTAGCTGAGTAGAGGTTGCACACCTGAGTACAAGGCAACCTGGATCAGGATTCCTACTCAGGAGAATACACTCATTCTCCTACCTTCACCTGACTGTGGGAAGCTTATCACATTGAAGAAGGTATTTTTCTGTACTTCCAGTCTGCTGTTCTAAATGCTAATGACTTTGAAAACTATATTCTTAGAAAAAATAGAACTTTTATTTGGCCAAAATCAGGGCCAGAGCTTACTCCAGCTCACAAATAAGTAAGTCATGACAGGAATTCTTGTAGAATGAATTATAAGAATTTCATTTTTATGTTTCATTCTGGAGGAATACGTGGAAATTGGGATGGAGGATGTGAGGGAGTGTAACAGGGATAGGAGAGAAAAGAACTGTGATTGGAATGTAAAATAATATTTAAAATATAATTTTAAAAAATTATTAAAAAGAAGTTCATTTTGGGTAATCATCATTACTGAACAGAGAAGTACACCAGATCTATCCTTGTAATTTTTATAAGTACATAATAACATTAGTAACATTGACAAGTGACAAAGATAGTGCTAAATAGTCTGGTGATTATGAATATGGAAGGTATGTTTTGAGACAGGGTCTCACTGTGTTACCCTGGCTAGCCTGAGACTTTATTGAGATTGGGCTAGCCACAGACTCACAAAGGTCTGCCTGCTTCTGCCTCCAGAACACTGGAACTAAAGGAATATACTACCTGCAAGATTTAGTATCGGTGTTGGCTCTTAATTAGTGGGGGTCTGTAGCCTTTAACATTTAAGTAAGCTGTCTCAGACTGAAACACAACCAACATTTATGAACACAGGTAACACAAGTACTATGCCAAGGTCTGGCCCTGCTGAAAGATAAAGGAGGACATAGACTCTCCTGCAGGTAGTCTGGTAGGAAGCCTACACGAATCAGTGATCAGACATAGGATGCTGCGAGAACATGGTAACGGGTCTCAATCTGGTATGGAAATTTTTGATTAGCAAATGTCATATAATAGCTATGACAGATAGATGGGGATAACACAGGTGAAGGGGCTAAAGAGGGGAGGAAATATAGGCAAATGATCCAGCAAGTGTAAAATGCAGGAAGCAAGAAACTGTGACCTTTAAGAGGAGCATTGGAGAACAGCGGCACACACAGGTGTGCTACAGCGCAGGCAACAAAGCATCGTTCGCGAGCATGGTAAGAGCTTTGGATACTGTTGGGAGTTGGATTGAATAAGAGAAATTAAAACTGTTAAGTCCTTTAAGGGAGTTGCTGAGGTTCATCACATTAAATTACTCAAAGTCTAATGACTTAAACGTTGATAATCTTGTAAACACATTCTTGGCAACATCTGGTAATCTGGTCTAGGAGTGTGGTGTTGAGGTGATGAATGGATGAAGTAAAAGGATGAAGAGGAGCTACAGGATTTACTAGCTTGACAGTGCTAGGAAGAAAAATAAACATGACACATTTCTTAGTCAATCTAGGCATTTCAGACATTGGATTTGTCAGTTCCCCGGTGTCACCCTTACAGAACTGAGTTCCTGGGGTACCCTTTATAGAAACAAGAGCAAAACACGGGCAAGTTGAGAAAGAGCAAAGTGGTCTTATGAATTTCATTTGGATCTACTGTACCACATTTGCCTGTGACATGTCCAAAGAACTATAACTACTAAGAAACAGGGTAGAGTTCTGAAGGTGGCACAGAATCGGCTGAATTTCAGATGTCAGTTTGAGCCACTGGCGTAGACAAATGCATGCATGCATATGTACATACATACATATGTGGAATTCTTAAAAAATAAAGTTTCAGAATCCTGACGCACACCAATGTGTAAGAGATATTAGGAGAAGGAGCCAATTACAGCTGCCTAGGATGGACATTCAACAGGTAAGGGGGAAAACTAGCATGTTTTATGCCACAGGAATACGTTTATGCATAGGAAATGATAGAATACTGAAACACACAATGAGTTTTTTTTTAAGATCATGAGTAATTAAATATAAGTTTATAATTATGGTTTGAGATCAATTGTTTTAAAATAAATAATAAACAAAGAGCCTAGAACTCTATTTTTATTGGGTTTCTAAGGATATATGTTATTTCCCTTAAAGGTCCAGAGAAAGAATATGACAGAAGAGAACCAATCTGTCATCTCCAGTTTCCTCCTCCTGGGCCTGCCTATCCCTCCAGAACACCAACACCTGTTCTATGCCCTGTTCCTGGCCATGTACCTCACTACTGTCCTGGGAAACCTCACCATCATTATCCTCATTCTACTGGACTCCCACCTGCACACACCCATGTACTTATTTCTCAGCAACTTGTCCTTCTCTGACCTCTGCTTCTCCTCTGTCACAATGCCCAAATTGCTGCAGAACATGCAGAGCCAGGACCCATCCATCCCTTATGCAGGCTGTCTGACACAAATGTACTTTTTAACAGTTTTTGGAAACATGGAGAGTTTCCTCCTAGTGGTCATGGCTTATGACCGCTATGTGGCCATCTGCTTCCCTCTTCATTACACCAGCATCATGAGCCCCAAGCTCTGTGTGAGACTGGTGGTGCTGTACTGGGTGCTGACCATATTCCATGCCATGCTGCACACCCTGCTCATGGCCAGATTGTCATTTTGTGGGAATAATGTGATCCCCCATTTTTTCTGTGACATATCTCCTCTGCTGAAGCTATCCTGCTCTGACAAACATGTTAATGAGTTGGTGATATTTATCATGGGAGGCCTTGTTATTGTCATTCCATTCCTACTAATTGCTATGTCTTATGCACGAATTGTCTCCTCCATTTTTAAGGTACCTTCTGTTCGAGGCATTCACAAGGTCTTTTCCACATGTGGTTCCCACCTGTCTGTGGTCTCATTGTTTTATGGGACGATTATTGGTCTCTACTTATGTCCATCAACCAATAACTCTACTGTGAAGGAGATTGCCATGGCCATGATGTACACAGTGGTGACTCCCATGCTGAATCCCTTTATCTACAGCCTGAGGAACAGAGACATGAAGGAGGCCCTGATAAGAGTCCTTTGTAAGAAGAAAATTCCCTTCTGTCTTTTATAGCTGCACCTGATAATTTTAGGAAATTACACCCAATAAATAAACTGTAATAATTTGGGGGTGCTATTCCAGATTTTCCCTTCTATATGAGATTTTATTAAAAGCATAGACCAGCAATTGCCCATTATGTAAAAGAAGGAATGTCTAAGTGTGAAGTTGAGGACAGAAACTATTTTTGTGAACCTGACTGCTCTTCTATTTTGCTTTTCTTTGGCGATCCTGAAAAGGCATGTATTAGAGCTACTATTTCAGTGCCCTCCATTCCTTACATCAAAGTCACTCCAGAACTTTATCTGCTTACCTGAGCTCTGTTTTAACTATGGTCTCATTTTTAAATTGCCATCCAAAATCCTAGGTCAAAGATAACATCCCAGTATCTCAGCCTCCATCTCCTAACATCTTCTATGTTTCTCTCTCTGAACAAACCTTGGCTCTTATTCATTCCTTATTTCTTTTAGCCTTTACTATTATGATGTGGGAGTGTCATATATTAATCTGTTGATTTCATTGGTTAAGCAATAAAGAAACTCCTTGGCCCTGATAGGTTAAAACATAGGTGGGAAGAATAAACAGAATAGGATGCTGGGAGGAAGAGGAAGTGAGGTCAGACTCTGCTCTGCTCCCAGAGAGACCCGACAGCTCTGCTCTGGAGCAGAGATGCCATGCTCTGCTCTCCCAATAGCTCTGCTCTCTGAGGAACACGCGATGAAGCTCAGACCCAAGATGGACATAGGTTAGAATCTTCCCGGTAAGCGCACCTTGGGGTGCTTACACACATTATTAGAAATGGGCTAGTCCAGGTGTGAGAGTTAGCCAAGAAGAGGCTAGATATAATGGGCAAGCAGTGTTTAAAAGGATACAATTTGTGTGTTGTTATTTCGGGCATAAGCTAGCCAGGTGGCCAGGGTGCTGGGGACACAGCCCCGCCGCTCCAATTTCAACACTATTATGTTGTGCATATGGATATTTTGTCTGTGTGCTGTGTATGCAGTGCCAGTGGAGGACAGAAGATGGCATCCGATCCCCTGGGACTGGAGTTAAAGATGGTTGTCCACTGTCCCTTCCCAGTAGTAGGATTTGTCTGATTTGAACTTGTGTGGGTATTGAGCATCTTGTCACAGTCTCTGTGAGTTCATATGTGTATCAACACTGCTTAGCCTGGAAGATGTTTTTTCTTTGGAGTTATCCACATCCTCTAGCTCTCACAATCCCTCCTCTTCCAAGTAGATTTGTAAACCTTCCTGACATTTTTAATAACAATATCATGTGTACAGTTCTGCTTTTGCCTAGAATTAACAGGGTCCTAGGTTTGATTTCCCTAGGACTATGGAAATATGCTAGAGGCTGATACAAGTCCTATTTTTTAAACATACTACTCATCTGTTTTGTATTTTGCTCCTACATTGAGGTGCTTGATCCTTTTGGGATGGAATTTATGCAGATTGAGAGATAATGGTATAGTTTTATTCTTCTACATGTAGCTATCCAGTTTGACCAGGGCCTTTGTTGGAGATATTGTCTCTCTCTCCTCCAAAGTGTATTATTGACCTATTCATTAAAAAAGCAGGTGTCTGTAGGAGTATATTCCTCAGTTCTATTCCATTAATCAATGTATGTGTTCTTATGCAAGTACCATACTGTTTTTACTACTATAGCTTTGTAGCATAACTTGAAATCTGAGATGGTGATACTTTCAGCCTTCCTTTGTTGTTTGGGATCATCTTAACTTTTGTTTCTATATGTAATTTAATACTTTTTCAATTTCTGTGGAGAATTAGAAATTTATGGGTGTTGTATTAAGTCTATATATTGCTTTTTGGTGCTGGAGAATTGTCTGTATACTGTCAATCATGTTTTAAATAAACTCTGATTGGCCAAGCAGAAAGTATAGGTGGGAAAACCAGACAGGAAGCAGAAATGATGCAGTGAGAACAGGAGAATTCTGGGAAGGAGGAAGTTGATTCCTCTTACTCCTGCCCAGACCACCGAAGCAGCAGGATGCGATCTGCCCCACTGAAAAAGGTACTGAGCCACCTGGCTAAAATAGATAAAAATAATGGGTTAATATAAGCTACAAGAGCTTTTGATAAGACAGCCATGTTCATAATACTAATCCCACCATTTCCTGAGCATTGGATGTCTTTTCTATCTTTTGGTATTTTTTCAATTTTTTCAGGGTCTTAACATTTTCTTTATACTAGTCTTTCTCTGAAGATCCTATTCCATTGACCTGTGTCTCCTACAGCAAATGTTCTCATGACTCACATTCTTTTTCTAAACATATTAGCATATCAATATTGTCTACTAACATGTCCTTACTCTAAAAGATTCTTTTTTAAATAGCTACAAAATAACTTCACAGTGTTGGGGCAGAATATGAAATTTCAGTACAAGCATACACTGTGTAATGATCAAGTCAACATAACTGATGCATCCTTTATCTCAGGTGTTTATCCTGTTTGTGCAGGTAATCAAATGTGTCTCTTCTGGACATTTTAATATAAGCAATGAATTGCTGCCAATGATAGTCCTCCAACTGTGCTGTATATCATGTAAAAGGCTTGCTCTTACCCAGCTGCACATCTGTATCTTTTATCATCTCCTTCCATTCTCTCTTCCCACATCCATCCTGCCATCTGGAAACCACTATGCTAATCTACTTCTAAGAGGCCCCATTTTATCTCCTTAATTATAACTCATATTGGGAGATTTTGCTACTCTCCTTAAAGTCAACTTTGCTTTTAATGATAAGGCATCCTCTTTGTATTTACGGATTTTTCTCTTTTACTAGCACAAAATATTTTTTGTCTTTTTTAATTTATTTATTTCTTTATTAATTAATTAAAGATTTCTGTCTCTTCCCCACCGCCGCCTTCCCTTTCCCTCCCCCCCCCC